GCAATTTTCGAAGTTGATTTAATTGCCTATGCAATATCCATATCCTGGCTCGTGGAAGTAGGATCAGAAGTTTAGATCGCGATTTAATTTAAAAGAACAGATTAGTTTGGCTGTCTTCCTTAGGTTTTATTCACAGGACCGTCTCAGTTCGCTGATATGTCCTTTATGGTAGTGGAATGTTAAAATAGAATGCTATTATCATGTCTCATTGGTATTTTAACAGAACTGTTTCTTGCATGGCTTAAACCACCAGAATTGTGGTGTGCGATAAACTTACCTCCATATGGTGCACCTAGGCCAAACGTATTCTCATACGGCAAAAAAGTTTATTAACTGGCAGTTGCCTACTCTCTTCCAATTACCATGACACCTCCGTATGTCATATTCCACTACTTACACAGTACTCACCTCACCTTTTCTCTGCCTTTATGTCTGTCTATCTCTTCTGTTCCCCCTTTCGACTTTTTTTGACTTGGTCTTTCCATCCCCTCTCTGAAGCCCGAAGTCAACTAAAGGCCTAATGGAAAGTATCATAAATCCCTCCATTTCAAATAAAAATCACCAGAATTTGCCTCGAATTTAAGTGAACTCTAATAAATATGCTGCAAATTTAATATGAAATATATATATATATGCGTCACAATAATAATAATTTAATGTACGAACCACGATATACAGTGCGGCACGGCTGAAAGGGGTCCCATGGCCCTTATCTTAACTATAGTGATATTGAATATTCTGTATCAAGTATTTTCAATATTAATAAATATATTAAATATTGATGTAACTTTCCACCCTTGGCCACACTTTGGTACAATAGTCGAATTTACATAAGGGAGGCAATATCGTGATACTGAAATAGGAAATTTACTTATTAAGTACTTGTGTGCTTGGGACAGTTGGATGATGTTAATGAATAAGTGCCACACGACTAGCCAATTAGCTCTAAATATTGTCCCTCTAAGAAATTGGCCAATCAAATATGAAACTATTGGCCTTGAAGGATTTTAAAGCTGCATAAAATGATTCATTACTTCCTCGTTACTTTAAGAATAAAATGGCTCATGATTATCGCACTCTGGTTGCATTACATGCTCCAGTTCGATTCCTCTCCGTTTCAACCCCATATTAGACTACATCATTATTTGGAACTTTCAGATGCTAGTCAATGCTAAAAATTTGCAATTGTTAATTCAACTGACACCAGTAATAATAATTAAAAAAATGACATTGATTAGGGTAAGTAGACTTGACACCAGTGTACCGCAGTTAAATTGTCAACCTTCCAACTTGGTGAATTATCATTATTTATCCCTTAAAAAAATATTTTGGTTATGAGAAACTATTTATATGCAAGGAAACAAAATTTTGAAATTTCTACGAATATTTTATATAACGTGACTACAATTCACTTTTAAAATTCACTTCATTTCACTTCAGCTCTCTCACTATGCTTCCTCAGGATCTCTCTTAACTTAGCTTCGAATTTTGAAATCACTCGACAGGGTAAAATTATTGGCCTTCCCTTTCTGAACAAGTCAAAAGTCGATGTGTAAGATTTTACGAAATTGTATGAACATTGGAGGATTGCCTGTTTTAAAAACTGACTCTGTATTTGGGCTTTTACTCGGAGGTGAACCATTAGGTTAAAAGCCTTATTTGATTAAACACATTCCTGTCTTTGAATCTGGCATGACATATTTAGAGACAAAAAACATGACTTTGGCTTTAAGAAAATCATCCATCATGGCTCTCTTGAATGAATCTTCACTTACTCATTCGGGAATACGATCTATCGGATTGTCAGGGTAACAGCAAGGAGATTTACTTACACTTTCAACTCGAATTGGGGAAAATTGTGCTGACCTTTACTGAGTGAAATGTTAGTTTATTTTACTACCATTAAACCATTCCCACGTCAGACATTCTGCAAATTTGGACTGTCTTTATAGAAGGTGCATTTTCTTGGGTGGCTTGCAAACTCATTTAACCAAATATTTGAACACATTGGCAGTTACTAATTAAAAAGGCATTCTGACTGAGCAACAGGTATATTGCAAGTCTACAACTGGATTCTGGGATGATTTGAGGCATTTCGAATGGTGAATTAAACTTCGAGTTTGAGCATAATGCGTATTTGATTTTATCCCTCTTGGGAAACTGTACACATAGTGACAAAAGCCTGGTAGGTCAGTTAGACAACAACACTTAAACTCACTAAGCATCTATTCGAACCATGGTAATCAAAACCTATGCATCGATGATCAATGGATGGAGGTCAATATCTATCTGTAGATCTTTCCAAATGTTCGCTCAAGTCACACTTCCCTAATATGTTCAGTCCAAAAAAAATGTATTTGATTGACTATTTCGACTGATAAATTCCGTTATCACTCGAAAATATTCCAATAAATAGAGCTATCGTATGGTAGAATATTAATCCAAGGTTCACTTCTTCATCTCTATTTTCATCGTTGAGTTTCAACACGTTTCTTCCCAATTGCAGAGGTCGAACCACTTCTGTGAATGACTCAACTCTCGCACTTGAAGGCGCTTATGTAGAATCTCTCTTCTCTTCCAAAGCCTAAATGTTGAAGACTGAGAAAAGAAGTACAAAGTTGCTTGAATTCCAACATTTGTCATTTTGCCTTAATGGGCCTTCGGAGTGGGAAGAAATGTTTTAGGTGCATGTGTATTGGCGATCGTGTAGTGAGCAAATGGGTCTTGTGAGCAGAGGCCCTCTCAGATACTCTCCGATTACTATTCATTCAGCAGAGCGATATCTAATCCCGTTTTGGAATCCATACACTTCACCCTATACTTCGCGTGCTTTTTTGCAGTGTTGGACGTAGACTCACCACATTGTATGGGGAAAACTGATGGTAGAAGAACCTGTGAAAAAATACTTATGTTAGTCACCACCTATTTGGACTTCTCAGTGGACTGTTGGAAGCCTGACAACTTGAATCATTCTCCTCTTCCAATCACCCGGAGCGGTTGCTGTCTATTAGTTGCTTGGGGTTATCAAGTGATCAGCAACCTTATGCATGCTTTTATTAATGTTCACTCTGGGGGTTTCAAATCAATAAACAGTGATAGACTTCATTATACACAATTCAATTTACTCATATCGATTTAATGCCAATTGGGAAGATGCTTCAGAACACGAGGATCTACGACACCAATACATGTGCGCGATGACAAGCAATACTATCCTGACAGCACAAGCAGTTAACAATCATAATCTGAAAGCTGTATACACGCTATCTACGCTACTTATTGGGAAATTCCATCCCCGTTTCTAATGAATTAGGAAGTGGTTGCAATAATTTATGTATGGGGGTTTCTCCACGGTCGCTTAGTCGGATGGGCAATTATTTATTTCCAAAAATAGTTTCATGAAATGAGATTTCCCTTTTAACCGGCCTGGGAGGAGAGGGGGTTCGGAAAACCCCGGTACAACTGCGATAAACTTTTTACTCGAAGCAGAGTCCTTTGGATTTCCTTCTTGATGTACTGTTACAGTAATGTTGCCAATATTGATGCCTAGCACAGATACAGTGCCCTTGCGACTTCGATACACACGGTCATTTCACGGAATTAGTTTAAAGCTATTTCAACGACAGAACTATGATGTCCGGTATGAAGGGAGCTTAACATTAACTTGGGACATTTGAAGTCTACTCAAGCAGCGTATATCTGAGACCTAAAAGAATGCGGGAAGGTTGGTGGATATGCAGTTAATTTTGATCTTATACTAATTTATATATTTACATCAGGGGTGTGTGATAGACTTACCTCCACGTGGTCCACCCTGGGCAACGTATATTCATACGGCAAAAAAGTCCATTACCTGGCAGTTGACTCCTGACTTCAAACTGCCATGACCCCACTGTATGTCATATTCGACTACTTCCACAGTACTCACCTCGCCTTTTTTCCACCTTTGATTTTCCTTCCCCTCTGTGAAGCCTGAAGTCAACTAAAGGGCTAATGATAATCATCAACACGCCTGACATTCGATATAATTATAACAATATTTACATCAAATATAACTGGCACATTGTTTTAATTCGAATTTCTAGGCAATTCACATAACGTAGTTTTCCTATGATATCTTACCCTTAAACGCAAACATGTGCACGCATTTGATCCCCTCATCAATTAATGCCCTTAGATCATCCAATTCCAAACTCGGCAATTGGCCGAAATGACTAAGGGCATTAAAGGTCCGCGCCATGACTCCCACTGCGTCAATAAAAAGAGTGGAATTGCATACACAATGTCAACAAAGTTGGTGATCAAACGAAAATTCCCAAATTGATAGCTAGACTTTATGTTTTTCTTCGACTGTGCTCATAAAGTCATCACTAACGCAATTTAGGAAACCATTTCCCAACGTCCACATCTTGTTTAGAGAGTGACATTGTGCAGCCATTCCAATGAGCGCTTCTAACTGCACTTCTCCCGAAGCAGATTCAACAATTGCGGTTCATCGTTCAGATCACCAATAGACATTGAGCTCAAGACCTCTGACAGCAGATGCGTACTGGTTGTCAAAATAACATAACACCACGGAATAAGGCAATTATTTCAATTTTAAGATTTGAAAATAGTATGCTTATTCATTATGGCAGATTAAATCTCAAAACTGCATGACTACTAAAGTTATTCACATTCTAGCAAACAACCTTTGCAATCAAAGCAAACCAAATTATTGGGCAATATTTTACTTCGCAACTGCAAAGCATCAATCGTCATTTGGGATCACTGTTGAGGCTAATACACCAAGGTAGACATATATGCTGTACTAGCCTGCATACTGAGAAAATGCACACACACTCGCAATCGTATGAAATAGGAATATTAGTTATCAAGTCAATGGCAATGAGCGAAAAGGGAAAACGGAGGTGATAAATTTCGATAAGAATCGAGCATGCTTCATCGTTGTTAAAAAGGAAATCAAGTTGAACCGGCACAAATCGACACCAGCCATCACTCTAATCCTCCCATCCACAAGAATCGCTTGTCTTATCGTCGTCGTCTTCAGAAGTATTTTCTAGGCACTGCCGACGTTTGCTGACCATCTCAAAAATGGCCTAAAAGGAATAAAAGGTCAGTGCTTTATTACACTTATAAATATGATGACAAATTTGATTTGAGATGAGTCTGTTAGGTAGATGTGATACGAGTACGCGTTCGAATGTAAAGTGGATGTTGACTATTATTTATAAAACAAAACAAAAATAATTTTTAGGATGAGCAATTAAAAGGCAAAAAATAGATTCGGGGAGAAAAGGCGAATCACTGAAAAAGCATTGACAAAATCGTAACTAGTTAAAAATGACTTCGGGAAACATCCATTAAAACAGAAATCACCTAATCGATGATCGTCCGCACACACCCGGTGGTATTAATGGACAGCGACATTGAATAATTCTGTCCAATTAATTAATTAAAGGGAGATTCATGTGGGAACGGTACCAGAATATCTTCAACTGCCCAAGCCAAGTATTTCTCTGACTTTCCCTAAGTGGACCTTGGGATTATAATACCATGGAGATATGAAAACCACTAAATAGGGCAAGAATGTGAGAAAAGGTGGAATACCTATTAACAAAGCATTGTTCTATTCAAACACCAAATGAAGAGAGTTCCGATCTGCTGACTACTCACGTTTTTTATCTACTTCACTTGCCCCTCAACGATAAGAATGTGAACTTTTGACCTGTAGCAAAAGATTACTATCGTGGAAAACCTTTCGAGGGCAGCATCAGCATGAAAAACTTCCGCCATATGTGCCAGGATTTTGCGAAAATCCGTCCAGGGCGGTTGAACAGAAAATTCCATTTCGTGAAACTATTTTTCGGAATCAAATAACCGCCAATCCCGAATAAGAGCCCACAGGAGCCTATTCGGATGGCCCTACTTTCGGAAAACTCCGGTAATAGAAAGAAACAGCCCTGAATCATTCAATTAAAGACTCATGCAAAATAAAAGTTAATCAAACATTGTCACAAAAATAAACGGAATACCTAAGGAAGAAGTAAGACAAGTAACGCAACTTTATAAATCAATACACCACTCAAAATCTTGGGATTTTTATATTCAGTATCGAAACAATATGGATCGAAGTGATTTTGCGCATTTAAACTACTCTAGAAAGCTCCAACGTTAAGGCCTCAATGTCGGAATAGTATATGAGCCGCATAAAGAGGCACCATGGCAAAGTGAAGCATCTCACCCTTTGATTTTAAGCATTCGAGATATCTTGGCATAAAATTCATACTCCCGACAAAATAGTTAATATGCCAAATATGCAAAACAACAGTTCACAAGAAAAAGCGTAAATAATGAAAATGGTTTTAAAAAATGATTAGTGAAGAAAAAAGAGGCTAGAACACATTTCTACAAGCACTAGAGGGCGAAAAGACTTACGATCCATGGTGTAACATCCATTAAACAAACTCTATATCCAAAACAAAAACAGGCAAAAATTGATTCAAAAAGAGAGTAGGCCTATCAATTTTTACCCCCAGGCAACTTACCGAGACATCGCAAATTCGACTAACAGTTGATTCTTTGGGTTGTAATTTGGGTGGGAGCTGACGCTCACTAACTTTTCTCAACTGAAAGCTTCCAGAACGAATATCAGAGAGCAGGTCACGAGGAGGGCAAGGGAAAGGGGATTTTGAGGCCGCATTACTGGTTGTAGAGGGACCAGCCCCAGCACATTTCGAGGTTGAAGGAAGAGGAACGCCGGGAACAGGAGGAGGAGGGGGAGGCGATGGAGGGGGGGGAGGCGGTGGTGGTGGAGGAGGGGGGTGGTCCGTGTGGAATGATGCTGACAAGAGGTTGTCAGTACTGGTATTCATGACGGCTGGTGGTGGAGGAGGCGGTAGAAGATCGGCACTTACATTCAAGCCATCACCACTTCCGTCAAGTTGGGGCTAGAGGAAAATACAACCCATTCATACACAGTCTTTTGAGATCGGAACAGGCATACTATTCACACGCCAGCTTAAAAGTCCTACCTAACGATAACCACGGCAGGCAACTAACTAAATGAAGGGGAAATAGCTAAAGCATAAATTGCAAAGGTTAAGGCTTCTTAAGAGGGAGGATGAATGCTCAAGAAGTGTGAATAAAGTAAATGCTTTATCCCTGGCTTTTTTCAAGTCGTATTAATGGGAAAAGTAATATTTCTAACCAAAAATTTCACAGCATTTAGAGATAAATACATAATTTCATCTAATTTGGGGATTAGACTAATTAAATCATCCTTGTTACGGCATCTTCGCAAGGGGTAAAAAGAAGTAGGTACAACCAAATTGTTAAAGCAAAAACTTGAAGCACGAAAGGTTCACTCAAAAAATTTCATTGGAAAATCAAGCGTAAATTTGGGGTAAAAATATAAAGATACAAAATCATTTTACTGTCAACGAAGATTCTTTCAAACTACCGAAGATAATAAGCGAAAAATCATGAACTACCAATCAAAGCTCACAAATCTGCACTTTTTGAATTAAATCACTGGAAATTCACATTGGGATTCATTTTCGGAGTAAAAAAATATAAAAAATAAAACTCGGTTAATATTAGGATTTTAGTTATTCAAGCTTTGCTAAGTTATAAGACCATAGCAATCTGCTTAAAGTAATCTAAAATCACTCCACTATCCCTACATTTACTGATAGAAAATATTAAATTGAGGTTTTAATATCGATCGGCACAATCAAACAATCGATCAATAGTCACTGATTGCGGTGGACAAGATTTCGTCCGGCAGCAGATGAAAGAAATCATGAAGTCTGGACATTGGGATGCAAACTGCCTATTAGGTAAATATTGTAGAATTCGAAACCCCAAATCAAGTGAAATGACACTGACACTCCAGTTTCACCATCGACGCCGTTTTGATTCTCCATCTGCTAGAAATATTGGTATTTTTAGCCTATTTCATTTAATCTACCATGAATAAAAATAGAAAAGATGTACGGCCTTATTGCGAGGCAATAAAATAAAAAAACTCAAAGTAAGAAAATAGGACAAAAAACTTAAAAACCAATCCAAATGATGGAATATTAATGAATTAAAATGAGATACTAACACTGAAAAACTCGGACCTGAAAGCTATTCACTCAACAATACAAATCACAGATATAAACAGAATGTACTGAAATCAAATTAAGTAGCAATTTTGATTTGAGTAGCATACCGAGAGAGAAGGCGCATAGGGTGGAAGGTTGTGAATGGGTTCCACAGAGAGAGCGCCACAACCACTGGCACCGCCACTGGTTCCACCGATGGATGAAACAGAGAGATCCATTAGGGGAGGGGGTGGTGGAGGTGGAGGAGGCGGTGAGTCACAAGAACTGGCCATTAGGCCCCCATCTAAAAGGAATAAGGTTTAGATGTATTCTAGATGCAAATCTCGGCTGTAATTCTGCAATACATACACTTAAGAATTGTACCTTTCGGATGGAAGATGAAAACACCCTTACGGAAAGAAAAATGCTCTCTCATCCATTCATTCAGTGTTACTTGTCCAAATGAAACGAAGTGACAAACTTAATACAATTCAGATTGGAATGACATTGAGTGAAAGAAATTGTAGCACCCACCAGTTACGAAAAAAATCACATTTTTATCGGGGCCAGAAGAAAGAGTAAAAATTGAATTCACCAAAGTTAAGTTACGGAATGCTATAGGCTACATATTTTAGGAAAAAAATGAGCTAGACTGCAAAATCGCATTGGAACCAATTATTATCTGGTGGTGTAAATAAATAATTCATTTAAGGAAACCAAATAATTGTCGCAATGTAGAAGCCATTGAAGGTCATAGCAATGGAGACTAACAGTCTGCTGAAAACCTCAAACTAAAATTACCAAAATCCCCTTTTCCCATCCCTTGAGTCGTCAAGGTCACGCATTCAATTGTTCGACGTGCACAGACACTTATGCTCAAGTCCATGTTAAACTAAGTGAAACTCACTCTCAAGAAAAAATATCAGCCACACCGACTGCTCTTGAATGAGGCAGGAAGGAAATTCCTGTTAACCGCACGTATTTCGCGTATTTAAGAAAGAGCAACGCCTAGTTGTTAGCTCAAATTAATGCAGTTCCAAAAGTTGGCCAATCCTTAAAATTTACAAATGCTGAAAGAGAGAGAGAGCTTTATGAGAAGTTCAGCTTTAGTGTCATTTTGTTGAGATTATTAGATGTGGCAAAATGTGAATTAATATAAAACAGCGATCACTTAGAACGTGCACGAGAAACCTCCGTCTTTTGTATGAATAGTAAAGAAAAAAACCGAAATTACAAAATTAATAATTTTTCTCCAGTTACATCATTAAAGTTGAAGATAGTAATAATTGGACCACTTAATTCAGCCAGAAGATGAAAAGTTTTCTAGCTTACCGCGCATTCTAGCTCCTCACCCCTAGTCAGAAATGGTGTGGAATGTATGGTAGTCTGCCGCCTATCACTACTTTTTTTGGCGTTCCGACCCCCTAATCAAAATTAAAGATTCCCTCAAATGAAGACAAATGAGCTCTAACTTACCACCACCGGCAACGCGATGATAAGGGAAGGGTGGGGCAGGTCGTGACGCCATCCATTCACTTGGATGATTAAACGCCTCCTCTGGTTCGCAATACTCGGAAGCGGTCATCGCCGTGGCACTGCCACCATCATTCTGCGTTGGTAATGGCTGTTGCGCAGTCAATTGTTGTTGATGATGCATGATTTGAGATTTCTGCATCGACTGTGGTTGAATCTCAGTTTGATTCTGGTGCTGTTGTACTAAGCCCTGTTGCTGTTGGATAGACGATTGCTGGTGAGTTTGTATTTGGGGAGCTTGCTGTGGTTGAAAATTTTGCTGAGGAGGGTAGTCACGCAAACCCATTGTTGAGGATGGCTTTGATTTGGGCTTTGGACGCTAATAAGCGGGAATGATCGACAATAAGCGAAAGCATTAAATAGACAACCTCAAATTACTCATTCTATATCCATTTTGTGGGGGTGTGCAATAGACTTACCTCCACGTGGTGCACCCTGGGCAATGTATATTCATACGGCAAAAGTCTATTAACTGGCAGTTCACTTCTCACATTAAACTACCATCACCTCACTCTATGCAATATTCGACTATTTCCACAGTACTCACCTCACCTTTGTTCTACCTTTGTGTTTGTCTCTTACATCTTTGAAACACTCTTCTGTCCCCCCCCCCTCTTGACTTTTTTTAAATTTGATGTTCCTTCCCCTCTGTGAAGTCTGAAGTCAACTAAAGGGCTAATGATAACCATCAAGACGCCTGCCATTTAATATAAATAATATCCATTTTGTAGATTAAAGAAACACCCGCATCCTCAAGTCTCATAAAGGGTAGAAAAGTCAAATGGACTAGAATTGGATTTTAAACGAGCAATCGAAAAAAAAACACAAAAAAAGAAAAATGCCTATGGTTACCAACTCAAACGCACTCAAAATCCTAAGATATTAAGGTAATAAAGTTTAGCTTGCTATAAGTAAATGAAATTCCCTGTATGTCATATTTAGCTTTCCTTTTCAAATCGTTAATGCCATATTAAAATCCGTGGAAGGAAGTGGAGGGAAGTAAACAACAAAATCGAACAATAATTTTACTGACCTCAGAAATATTTTGAATGACTTCCAAATGGGACAATCGAACCAAGCAGGTGGGTGTTTCAAAATTACACTCAAATGGACGGTCGCAACGCTAGCAATCTGCTCCTAACAAAAAACGTGTAGATTGGACGGGGGAAGAGTCAACGCTCTTTAAGGTGACAACAATTTTTATTGGGAAGAAAAATGTGAATTGATTTCTGAAGTACGAAATCGAAAAGTTGTAGTTTAATCATATTTAACTGAGGCGAGGAAATCTAGTAGAAATATTCCCAAAAACGCAAATGGTGATATTAATTTTGTTGACATCAACGACTGTACGAAATTTCAATTGATATAAGGATGACAAAAACTTATGGATATCGTTTAGAACGTTAAATCAAGAAAGCAAAAGAATATGCACCTCTAATCAACACTTGTAAATACCAACCTTTAAGAGATATATTTAATTTCGCGTTAAAAACATTATCAGTGTTCTAATAAAACTGGAAACCCCAATTAGAACACGGAAACAAAATAGGTGTGCAGAATCCACCCATGAAAACCATTAAAATAAACAAAGCCAAAGATCCAAGTACAGTTTCCAACTAATTTTAAGGAGGTGGGTATAAGTGAAAGCGCTTTACATCTACAAAAATAGGACCTTATGACAGTAATACAAACTCCAAAGAGAATTTTACCAAAGCAGAAATGAAGCCTGTTCAACTATCCTCTGGCATATTAATAATAACCAGTAGATAATGATTTAATAACAAGATGGACTTTTAAAGGGTCAAATCAAATAAATCAGACAAAAACATAGAAATAGGATACAACTTTTTCCAAGTAATTCAATTCGACATGAAAAACGATGCCAACGAAAGATTGTGCTCACCTTCTTCTTGCCCATCTTTTTACCGCCCTTAGCATCAAGATTTAGGGCACTGTTAGCCCCATCAAAGGCATCCTCCAGCATTTCCTTCTTCCAAAGATCAAAAAAGAACCTCGGGTCGGAGTAGAGCCTCGCTGTTGACTTGCCGTCATCTCTCAACGCGTCCATAACAGATAGTGGTGGTGGTGCCTCGGCTGCATCATGCTGTATTTGCATGCATCGCGGTTTAGTGCTGCTACGAAGGACTTGGCTGTCCAATTCCGGTTCTTTAACACCTGGCGTAGGAGCAGAGAGATCTTGAAGACCAAGAGTGAGGAATTCCTCGCTCGTGGGAAGAGATTTGAGGGTTGTTGTGACAGCAGTCACACGCTTTTCAATGCGATTGAGGCGATTGGTAATCGAGGTTAAGTCGTATGTAAGCTCCTCGAAAATTTCCGAAGCAACATTAGCTACAGAGGCCATTTGATGCATGAGATTGCAGAGGGTCTCGTTAGATACGTACTCGAGTTCATTATCAATCTTATCAGGCATACGCACCTGACTGATGCGAGTGGGTTGAATTGTGTACCGTGGAAGAGGCATCTTTGAGGAAGCGTTTCATTAATGTAATTATTTAGAACTATATATGTATACGGAAATGTATATATAATGACTCCTAAGAAAAAGTACTCCGTAGCTTTTACAGCAAGAAAAACATATACATCGAAACGCATGTGATTTATTTTAAGCCTGTGGAAAATGGAGAAGAATAAAAATAAAAATTTAAGAAGGGGCACTTACGATGTTTGCCGCTCGATAACAGCGGCTGAAACTGGCAACAGAAGTTTGCGCTTGGCTGCTTTTAAGTGCCGCGGTTATTGACGACATTTTTATATATATTAATCTATTCCGATAGCTGAACATCGAGCATTTTATGAATATATTTTAAATTAATTTCTCTTATTTTAGGTAAATAAAATTCAATTCATTTGCATTATTGCATTCTATTATAATGTACTTCATATTTAAGATTATCAAATCAGATCAAATTATTTTCCACATTTGAGCATATACCTTTGAATTATCAAAATTGGTTTAATCAATACTGAATGGTTGATATTATTTTCATTGCACTAAAATTTTATTCACTTGTGAATTTAGACGTTTCTCTAACCGACACATATAACGGCGAATTTCATACATTGGAAAAGAAATTGATAGAGTAATTCATACTAAGACATGAATTAAAACCGATACGAACTGAGAACAGCAGGTAGTAATACCTCTTTGTCCTCTTGCTTTTCAAATTTTCATATGTTCATAATGAGTGTTTGACATTGCTCAGTGAAAACGTATAATTAACATACAATTAATATTACTTCGTATATCAAAGCCGTTTTCATCCCCTTTACTTCAAATTTCATTGGTAGTAATAAGTTTGAAGTGATTTCTAAGAAGGCTGTTTTTATGTATGATCATATCAGTGCCCTATGATATTCACTAGATATATTTATTTATTTATTTATATCAAATGGTAGGCGTCTTGATGGCTATCATTACCCCTTTAGTTGACTTCAGACTTCACAGAGGGGAATGAACATCAAATTGAAAAAAGTCGAGGGGGGGTGGAGAACAGAAGAGTGTTTCAAATATGCAAGAGAAAAACACAAAGGTAGAAAAAGGTGAGGTGAGTACTGTGCAAGTAGTCGAATATGGCATAGAGTGAGGTGATGGTAGTTT